GTACAGGGTCTACAAGGTCTCGCTATACAGATCAGATTTGTAGTGATCCTCATGTCTTTAGCCTCCCAAGTGTTGGGATTACAGATGTGCGCCACCACGCCCAGTCTCAATCACATCTCAGCATGCCCCAGGGGCAGGGCCTGCACAACATGCCAGGGATTGAACCCAGGTCCCTGAGAAGCTGCTGAATTTTTCACAGCATTTATGTAAGCTGATAAAGACTTTATTATACACCAATGACAACTGTAGGTATAGAGTCAAATTAGTTCATAAAGATTACTTGCAATAATTTGTAGATATTAGTAAGGGCACCACATCCAAAACCAATAAATTATCCCTGAAAATGTTTACAGTGTAACAGTATACAAATTCCATCTGAATACATTAAAGATACTTGGTCCTCATATTGTACTTTCTTGTCTTTTAAATTCTTGAGTTCTCTCTTTGCTTCCTTTACCTCCCAGGACTTCCTAAGCCAGCCCATGAAGTCTTGGCCTTTTGCATACCTCACTCTTGTTAACTGCTCCATAATTCAGTCTTCATGAGCAACAGAAATAATGTACACAGACTGCCAATACAGACATATTATAAACAAAGGAACTAAGGTATCCCAGTGGAGTGGAGAGCCCACTACAGGAATCCAGCTGTCTATCCAAAGACACAAGTGCGTCTTTTGTCCCATTTCAGCTATGTGAAATGACAATGTATTCAATTGCTGTATCAGGTAATTCACCAAGAAGTATTAATTCAAATACAAGTGGAGCGCGTGAGGTCATTATGAAGATAAAAGAATCTAGTACACAATATGTCTTGCACATAGGAACTGTATACTTTCTAAGTGTAGGAAAATAGAGTACAGATACAGGCTTGGAACTAAAAACACAGATGAATTTTTTTTTTTTTGGTGGTACCAGGAATTGAACTCAGGACCTTGCGCTTCTCAGGCAAGCACTTATTCCACTGAGCTACTCCCTGGCCCAGAAACGCAGATGATAATCCAAGGTAAAAGCAGTTAGAAGAGTTCCTCTACTCAGCATAAAGTAAAACTAGAAATGGAAATGTTTTCTCTTCCACCTAGCTCAGCATCTTGTGTTCTACCTACTGAGCCCTGAGTCTTTTCATTGAAAATTTCCATCCTGTACCCTTGACCTGGTGACTAGTTCAGACAATGTGATAAATGTGGGGCAGCTCTTCATAATTTAAAAAAAATTTTTTTTTTTTCTCCAAAAAGTATTAAGCAGCTCTCCTAATTTGGCTGCTCAGGAAAATCTGATTACTACAGCGTTCAAAACAAGAACTAATGAAGTGTAGCTCATGCTCTACAGAGGGCTGTATGCTGAGTTCAACACATGACTGTCCAGATGCTACATCTTTATCACCCAAGGGTAACAGAAGCTAAAATGCATTGAGAAGGCACAGAACATATGTGATCAATCAAATATGGCTAAGCCTTGGCTCCTTTGGACCTGCTCAATACACAATCTGCTCTGTATTGGGGTAAATTTATGTAACACAAAGTCAAGTGAACTGGTTGTTCACCCATGGGGTCCTGTTTTTGAAAGAGCAGTGACTCATTACTGCTACTGTACCATGTACCCTCAGTGTGAAAAAATGAGTAAATTTCACCATTAATAATAAGATTTGAGGGCCGGCAACATAGCTCTGCTGAAGCACCTGCTTAGGCAAACACAGGGACCAAGGCTTGACGCCTGCATCGCATATTGCACTGGCTCTGCCCCCAGGCACACTGAGCCAGCCTCTGAGTCCCGGCGTGGTGGTGCACTCATGTAATCCCCGTGCTGGCAAGGCTGAAAATGCAAGAATCACCGAGTCCAAGCTGCGTAGTGAGACCCTGTACCAAATACATAAACAAAAACAAAACACAGAAGATTTGCACTAAATACCTTTCCTTTTTCTCTTTATCACAAGAGACCTAACTCAGGGCCTTGACATACATTAGACAAGTTAGTTTGCAATTAAGGTACACCCCAAAATATTTACTTCATGATGACAAAGGGGCTTGCTCAGTTATGCAAGTTAGGCTTGATGGTTTAATATTCCTGTAAGTTTCTCAAGTATCTGAACATTAAAGGTGTGCCCCACAATGCCTCACTGACGTTTATTTTATCCAAGCACTAAAATCTTGGTATATAATGGAGATTGAAGAACCCCAGTCTTAAACTAGCAAGGTAGCACATGTCTGTCTTCCTGTAGTCAGGGAGGTGGAGAATTTTCTCCTTAATCTGAGCAACACAGTAAGATCTGTACTCAAAATTTTAAAAGAAAGGAGAGAGGAGGGGAGGGGAGGGGAGAGGAGGGGAAAGAAAGGGAGAGAAGAGATAAATTAGGGAGTGAGATGTCTCAGGATAAAATTCCAAAGTTCACTCCCTGTACAATGAAAGAGATCAAATACACCTCGAAATCTTTTGTATCCAAGAGAAACACCTTTCCATTCTGTATCAGTGATAATGTCTGCCCTACTTTTAATCCTACAACTACATTAGCCTCCCAATGTCTAATTCTGCTGCAAAAATGATTAGTAGAGTTCAACAGTCCCAACTGAAGAAATACTTCTCTATTATTATGCTCTCCTCCATTCTTTAAGTCTGTGACCTCTGATCCAATCTCAGAACAGGCCAGCAGACAATTCTTAATTTGTCATCACACTAAGAACAATCTGACTTCTGAAGAAATTTACTGTTGCAATTAATGATTTTTTCCATTCTCCAAAATCTCCTGCCTTCCCATTTACTTTTACTCCGTTCTGCTCTGACCTGTTCAAAAAAACCAAAACAAAACACTTTTTACTCTATTTATTCATATGCCTACAGACCTTAACTGTGGGAATTTACTCCTACTTCAGTATTCATTTTATAAACGGATCATTCAATGTTTTGATTTATAAAACAAAGTCTGGAAACTGTCCACAGACTACAAAGCAATTATTTCAGAGATGATGTCCCTTTCCTTTTCCATTTATGCCAGTATCACATGTATACGTCCCCGTAGATGTCCCAGTTCAATCTCAGTGGGGGTTTAACACACAATTACAACTCTGCACATCCCCTCCATCTTTCTCACTGTTGTAAATTCTATGGGAAGGGCCAGACAGATGGCTCAGTGGATTAAAGCGCCTGGTTAAGCAGACTCAGGGACCAGGGTTCGATCCCTGGCCTGCTGTGCCGGGCCCCCCCCACTGCAGGGTGCGCTGAAACTGCAATTGAGACTGGGCGTGATGGTGCACACCTGTAATCCCAGGGCTTGGGAGGCTGGAAACAAGATCACTATGAGTCTGATCTGTGTAGTGAGACCCTGTACTAAATTAAAACAACAACAAAAATTTTATGGGAAGCCTCTCTTAACGAGTCTAAATGTAAACAATAATTTATTAGGGAATAAATTAGGTAAAGGCCTGAGACAGACCTGCAAATTAGTCATTTCGATAAGAATTAAAATGAGAATAAACAACTACCTAGAAATTTGGACCAAGAGTAAACTTTGCATGACAGGGAATACAGCCCCTCCATACTAAAAGGAGTTGTAGCTACTCTCTACTAAGATTCTGATTTTCCAGGAATTTTAAATACAAACTAAGATCAGGAGTGGCAAGATACACCTCTAATCTCATCACTTGAGGGTGAGGCAGAAAGATTGCTGCCAAGTTCAAGGCCAGCCTGAACTGCACAGTGAAACCTTGGCTCAAAATAATATTAACAACTTCTGACACTGCCAGTCCTACAGATAACCCACTACTGTTATGGACTACTGGCGTATATTGGATTATTTTGCTGAATTCAGGCACCTACAATATTTAAATGGCAATGGAATACCCATCTCTGACAAAACTAAACAAAAAAGGGGGATATAAATGAAGGACCATTTTGTATCTGTACATACAAAATAGGATAGATATACAGCCACTTTCTCTTAATTCAATAAGAAGAAAGATTTGTACTAATAGTGTTTGGACAGGATATCATGTCTGCATCTTGTACTATGAATAACTACTACAAAGACAACAATATGCAATGTTTTAATTATTGTAACTGCCCTACTAACCAGTTTTGAAACTGTCTCATTACTATTTATTTCTTAATAAATTAAAAAAAGAAAAAAAGAAAATAATATTAATTAATTAATTAATTAAAATGACATATTAACCTTCCACTATTTCTGTAAACTCCCAGTTCCTACTGGGGATGTAGCACAGTGGCACAGCACCTACCTGGCCAGCACAAGGTCATGAGTTTGGTTCCTTGTACCAAAAAATCAAAAACAAAAAATAAACGGCCTTTTCTAAAATCCCTGTTTCACTTTAACAGTTCTGAGGAATTTAGTCAGAAAGCCTGAGTCCCAAGTGGCTGCTTTAAATCCACAGAGCCATCTATGATTGGTGACCACTAAACAACTAAGCATTTACTGTGCTCTGCTTATTTATACTTAGCTCTGTATTGAGCGGGCAGAGTCACGCACTCTGGACACTTCTGGAAATCAGGGAGCTATCATTCTTTTTATTTTCAATGAAATCTCTCCTAACCTTCTTTGGGTTGCAACGTCATCCTTCAATGCTCTGAGAGGAAGAACTGTGTTCACTCAACATCACTTCAAGTAGAGGAGTCACGTAAAAAATTAAAGTGTTTTTTTTTTTTTTGTTTTGTTTTGTTTTTTGTTTTTTTTCATTGCTGAGTACAGAACTAACTGAACGCTTCCTCAAGTTCCTGCTAGCTCTAGATTGCTGGAGATACAGCTGTGCCAGGGGCCAACCAAGAAGACATTCTAGGCGGGCAGGGTCGGCGTTGGCACTGTATGCAGGCACACAGCCCTGTCCCTGCCTGGGCAAAGGAGATCATGTTGCAGACGAAGATGCAACAACAAAGACAAGGAAGATCTTGCATCTGGATCTAAGCGGGGAGTGCAGATTGCCATAGCTGTTTCCGACCACTGACATCTGGGACGCACCTTATTCCAACCCATTCCCACCTCCCGTCCCACAACATCACCATTGCGTGGTTTGAGGGTCTCCCGGGATCCTTCCAGTGTAGCTCACAGCCAGCAGACAGGTCAGTAGACATTACAGAAAAGGGCGGGCCAGTCAGCAGGTTACTCTAAATAACACACTCACTGAAGGCAAGCTGGCGCCATGACACAGGAAGTGCCCTCTCCCTCGGCCCGCCTGATTGGGTAGTTGAGCCATTCCCCGCCTTCATCGCTGATTGGCTCCTGCTCTATTATCTGACAGCAACGAAAAACAAACCTTTTCCAGCAAGGATGGAGATGAAACAATAGCTTGTACCCCCGGAACTTCTGGACTAGTCTCTCTCCCATGTGTCAATCTCATCTCGCCTGAGACTACTTGCATTTTTTTTTTTTTTTTTTAGTACTTGCATTTTAAGGGCTTTACTCTTTTTGTTTCAAAGCTGTCCTGGCTTCTTAATGAACTCTAAATTCTTCCTGAAAATGAGTGAAAAATGTGAGCAATAGATCCCAGGGTCAATGTCCCATGGAAGTCACTCCCGTGAGAGAAAATATCTTGAATCCAGGCCAGCTCAGGACAAAATGCAATACAGAGAAGGCCTGCTGTTGGCAATGACGCAGTCGGTTTCATTGCCAAGATTTTCACACTGTCTCTCAATCTACTCATTTTCATTCATGAAAATGAATGTCAGGCCTCTCTCTAAGAGGAATACAATTATTGCGTTTACAAACAAATTCGAGTTGCATGATAGCTATATTGTGTCAAAGACTAAAGTAGATGAAAGAAAAGCAAGCATTCTAACTCCCTCAGACAAGATTTATACTTTATCCAGGATCATAAAAAATACTTAAATATGTTTATATTTTTAAGCACGGAGGCCCAAAAGGTTGCTGAAACAGTCCCCCATGTGATGCATCTCATCACTTCCTGGCGATAAGCCTGAGATACGAAAGGACTGTGAGCTCACCTGGCCTGCCGTGGCTCCTCACAGATTGAAATTCTCCACGTTTCAACATTAATATTCCTTTAAAAATTACCTGGAGTCAGGTGATACACTCACGTTAGTGACTTGCTTGGCTTGAGTGATGTACAGGATATTAATAAAACACACTTTGTGGTGTGTTGGTTGAGTCATAATGGTATGACCTGAGTGACTCAATAGGGACCCTGGTTCACTTCTCTCAACCTCTTTCTCTTCTCTCTGGATCTGGCTCTAACAAAGTAGATATCCTTGTCCTTTATTTCTTTTTTCTTTTACTTTTTAAAAATGTACTTAGTACAGGGTCTACAGGATCTCACTAAACAGGTCAGACTTATAGCGATCCTCCTGTTTTTGTTTTTGTTTTTTGTTTTGTTTTGTTTTCATCCTCCCAAGCGCTGGGATTACAGATGCAAATCACCACGCCCAGCCTCAATCGCCTTCGCACCCTGGGGGCGTGGCCGGTACCACCTGCGGGGTGTGGGGGTGGGGGTGGGGAGATGGAACCCTGGTCCCTGCACCTGCCTAAGCAGGTGCTTTAGTTAGCTGAGCTATCTAGCCTGCCCCTTGTCCTTTATTTCTAGCTACCATGATATTTTTCAATAGAAGCAATCAAATAAAGACTGCAATCTCTGAAATAATGAGGTATAATAAATTATGCTTTGTATGTTAGATATTTCTCCCTGTAACAATAACAATAACAAAACAATACAATTCCTGCTAGATATCTGTTATCAATAAACTTTCAAGTACATCAGTACTTTCCTCAGAAAACCATACAAATGAATTTTCTCTATGAATACTCTAAACAGATTTCCTTCATGTGCACATATTTTGATCTGACCCAAGCAACTCTTTGCATATCATTTTGACTTTCCCTCCACAAGGTATATAGACAGTACTAATTCATTACATGTAGACATCTGGGCATGAACTTATGCTTAAAACAAGCCCTTGGCCACAGCCATCTGTAATCCTGTTCAACAGTATTTTGCAAGCTGATAAAGGCCTTTTATAAGTTATCAGTTACACTTCTGGGTAGTAATTGAGAAGAACCCATGAAGTATATCCACAATGATGGGACGCTGCATATGACAATGTTTTATGGGAAACACTCTGGTCACCCTGAGCAAGTTGAATCAAAGTAACATTATGATATTTCCATCTGCATATTCCCTGACATACACATGCTGTCTCTTCTATTTGTAAGTTGGTTCTCCATGCCACCATTTTATCTGTCATAAACACACAAGATTTAGGTCTCTTTTTTAAAAATGTATTTTGTACAGGGTCTCACTACACAGATCTGACTCATAGTGATCCTCCTGTTTTCAGCCTCCCCAGGGCTGGGATTACAGGCATGCACCACTGTGCCCAGACTTCGTGTCTGGCTCACCAAACCTGGTGGCAGAGCTGGTGCCACAAGTGGTGCTGGAGATCGAACCCTGGTCCCTGCACTTGCTTAAGCAGGCACTTAGTCCAATGAACTATCTCGTTGGCCCCAAGTTTCGTTTAAATAAACCATTTCCATACGCCTTCTCTCACTCCACGGCATTACGTTTCAGCGTTACTAAACATCTACAAGCACCTGGCTTATCAGAAAATTGTAAGTTATCATGCACAAGTTATCAAGTGTAAGAGAATTTATCAGTTTGAACCATGAGAAGCTAAAGACACCAAAGAGTTTTGTTGCTTTTGTTTTTGTTTGTGTAGTAAGTACAGGGCCTACAGGGACTCACTACACAGATTGGATTCATAGCGATCCTTTCTGTTTTTCAGCCTCCCAAGTGCTGGGATTACAGGTGCATGCCACAACACGGGGTCTCAATCGCTGTCTCAGTGGGCCCTGGGGGTGGGGCTGGCAGGGCAGACTGGGGATTGTTGTTGGTTTTTTTGGGACATGGTCTCACCGCACAGTTCAGGCTGGCCCTGTGCTTACTTTGTATCCTCTATAACCCCAGCCTGTTTCTCCCTTAGGGAAGCATGCAAAATTAGCCACTGTAAATTTGCGATCCCCAACACAGCACTACTGGTGGCACCTACTTCCTTGGAACAAAAGTCTCTGGAAGCACACAGTGGAGGGAACAGTGACATGGTGGTGATGGATGACTGGAAGACCCCAGAGGACCAGAATGAGTGTGAGAATCCCTTGGGTCACAAAACGTACCAGATTCCTCCAGATCCCTTGAGGATCTCAAGGTGAGGATCAAAGCAGAGCAACTGGACTCTGACAGGGTGTAGGGGAGGACTGACCACAGAGAAATGGATGCAGATCTCGAACTATAGCTATCTTCCTGTCTCAACCACCTGAGTGCTGGGGTTACAGGCATGTGCCACCACACCCAGTTCCAAAAGAGCTTTCTTCGTAATCATCACTCTTTCAGCATATAAAATGTTTCCAAATCAAATGAGTGTGACTCTCACAGTGGTAGCAATATGAGAAAAAAATTTAAAATGACAAGGTACTGTGAGATAACAAGAGAGTGTGAATCCCAGTACTTTTGTGAATGGGGGAGGCAATTTTTTTTTTTTTTAGAGTAGTTTGAATGAAACAAAGGAATTTTCCAGACAATGTTAAAACAACACTGATGGGGGTCAGCCAGATAGCTCAGCAGACTAAAGGGCCTGCTTAGGCAGGCCCAGGGACCAGGGTTCGATCCCCTCCATGTAAGCTGGTCCTGCCCCCAAAGATTGTGATTCAGACTGGGTGTGGTGGTGCGCACCTGTAATCCCAGTGCTTGGGAGGCTGAAAACAGGAGGATCACTATGAGTCTGATCTGTGTAGTGAGAACCTGTAGACCCTGTACTAAATACATTTTTAAAATCACAGTGATGGCAAAGAAAGCAGTTTGAAGCAAAAATACATGAGTGTGCTGAACATGGTGAGGTAATATCGTTAATATTTTGTGAATATAAGGCCAGTGAGATATCGCAGCAGACCAAGCGCCTGCTTAGGCAAGCACAGGGACCGGGGTTCTATCCCTGGCACCCCACGCCATGGCAGCCCCACCCCTGGGCACATCGAGTCCGGGCATGATGGCGCACACCTGTAATCCCAGCTCTGCGGAGGCTGAAAACAGGAGGATCATTATGAGTCTGAGCTGCATAGTGAGACACCGTACCACATACAAGCAAATAATAAATGAATAAATAAATACAAGATTTTATGAATATAGACTATGAAAGAAGATGAACACCATGAGAAATTACCTGTCTCTGAAAGCATGCTGAAAACATGAGGCTTTGTGGGACATCTAGATACAAACCAGAACAAAGGCCCTTTCCATGAGTGTGAGAAGTCTCTGCACGCAATTGTGTGGTCAGTCTTCCCTTCACTTTGTCAGAGCCCAGAGGGTCTGTTTCAACCTTCACCTTGAGAACGTCGAGGGACCTGGAGGAAACCTGTGGGGTTTGTGACCCGAGGAGCTCTTGCACTCACTCTGCTCCTCTGGTATATTCTACCCACCCAGCATCACCATGTCACTGTTCCCTCCACTGTGCCCTTCCACTGACTGTTGAACCAAAGACAGAGGTGCCACCAGTAACTCTGTGTGGGGACCACAGATTTATGATAGCTGATTTTGCACACTTGCCTAAGGGAGAAATAGAGGTTTAGGATTATAGATATCACCCTATTGAGATTTTCCATTATCTCTTTAGGGTTGGGCCATCCGCTCCCACTCACTAGACTAATTCTAAAACCACAAAGATCAAAGACCCTCCAAGGCAAGATCCTTCTTAGCATAAGATCACCTCTACCTTCTGAGTCTTCTGGTAATTCCCTCCTCAAATTTCCTCCTCCGTCAATAAATGCCAAGGTTCTGACTGACTCATGGGCCTTTTGTTCCTCATCAACAACTACTTGTCCTGGATTCCCCCTACACTGCCATCTTAAACTGTAATTTTGTCCGTCTGTCCGTCCGTCCATCTCTCTCTCTCTCTCTCTCTCTCTCTCTCTCTCTCTCTCTCTCTCTCTCTCTCTGCCATAACACATTGCAAGAGAATGGAAGCTCCCCACAGGGGTCCTCAATAATGTTGGATCTTCCTGTCCTTCATTTTCAGGTGATATAACATAGTAATGTTCAGATTTTACAGGTCTTTCTTCTTCTTTTCTTTATTTCTTTTTATGCTGGAAATGAATGTTGGGCTGCTTATGAGTTTGTAACAGGAACCATATGCAGCTTGAGAGATCAACATTAGCCTGTTCCTACAGTCAAGATTGATTGAACAAAGTTAAACACACATCTCAATATTCACCCCTAGGGCTAGGGATATAGTTCAACTGCTTAAGCACCTGCCTGACAAGTGCAAGGTCCAGAGTTCAATCCCCGGTACAAAAATAAAATAAAACCTAAAATGAAAGTGCCACTAAGAATCAGTTATTTCAGTGCTTTCTGAAGTAGAAATTAAAGGGGCAGCAGAGAAGAGCTGGCTCCTGCTGGCTCCATTCCAGCTGATGGCGTATTCTGGGAGGTGTGTCCACCCTGGCTGGCTGGTACAAGTGCTCATGGGACATCACAGCAGGGACAGGAACTCTCAGCCCCTGAACACAGGACAGGTCAGTGATGATGCTGGCTATAGTCAAGGAGGAGAGAAAAGTGCAGGAAGGAAGGATCGCTTAGCTTCGCAAGACGAGCTGGATCGCAAGCTGATCATATCAGTGTGAAGACAGCACCTCAGCTCTGCCCTCAGAGCCGTGAACGTGAAGCGGTCGGGACTGCGAGTCATTTCCTTCTGGGTAGTATATTCCTGATTCACATGAAACTGTTATCAGGAGACGGACATTAGTTGATTGAAACTATATAGTATTTTATGAAAAACCATACTCAGATGAATAACCAATAACCACAGAAGGACTGAAACACTAAGTAGAGAACTCTAACAAAGAAAAATTAATTTTGTTGAAAAGTGCAGGTATTCAATTTTAAATATATTTTTCTTCAATGAAATGGATGTGTGTATGGAAAGTTTCATGAGTGAGAGGGAGAGGCTGTGTATGATAGAAATAAACCTAACTGTTATGGCCAGCCAAATAGCTCAGCGGATTAAAGTGCCTGCTCAGGCAGACACAGGGGTGGGAGTTTGATCTCTGGCCTGCCATGCCAGCCCCGTCACCGGGACGCGCTGAGACAACAATTGAGACTGGGCGTGGTGGCATGTGCCTGTAATCCGAGCTCTTGGGAGGCTGTAAACAGGTAGATCACTATTAGTCCAATCTAGCAGTGAGACCCCAAACACCCTGTAGACCCTAGACCCTTCCCTAAAATAAAGTAAAACAAAATAAAACACCTAAATGTTAAGTTCCTCAGTTGGAGGCACAGGCCCTCTTCCTCCTGAGCTATCATCATGGGAAGAGCACACTAAAGGTCCCTGGAAGCTGTCCTGAGTCCTCTTCCCTCCTCCCCTGAGCTCAGGGCTCCATGCTGGGCTGATCCTGGGGAGCAGGTCTCCTGAGATGGTCAAGGGGTGAGCAGAGCCGTGCTGTATGTGGCCATGTGCAGAGGGATGAGAAGGACATGATTCCCTAAATTGAAACATCTATTTGTTCATCCAACAAATGCCCTTCATAGTGATGCATTTAGCAAATTGATATTCATGGGGTCGGGGAGATGGCTCAGTGGAATAAGCACTTCCCTGGCAAGCGTAAGGGCCTGAGTTCAATCCCCGATTCCACCAAAAAAAAAAACAAAAACAAAAAAAATTGATATTCATGTATTTATGTTATTAATGTTATAATAATAGTAAAATAATAATTAGCATTATTTTCTCTGCAAGTTAATTCTGTGACAGTTAGAGACAGTGCCTGATATTACTGTGGCAAGAGATGAAAAGAGGACCTCAGTGTGAGGTGGGACACAAAGAACTCAGCGGGGGAACTATTAATTACTACTAATTAATAGTAGTAATTACTACTATTACTACTAATTAATTACTACTAATTAATTACTACTAATTAATTACTACTAATTAATAGTAATTAGCGCTTACTATTATACTCTTTTGAGGCAGGGTCTCATGTATTCCAGGCTGATCTTGAACTCGCTGTGTAGATCAGACTTGTTTGAAGTCATAGCAATTTTTTCTACCTCCCTGTTTCTGAGCTCTAGCATTACAAGGGTGGATGGCAATGCCTGGGCATATAAAATTTTAGCCAATAAAGACTTGAAGTTCTAAATTCGCCTGCCTTGAGAAAATTCACAGTCCCCTTTTGGGTGATGCAGGATATTTTTGGCTTTCAAAAAGAGAAAGCATATACAAACATAAATAACTAAACACACATGTGAATTAAAGTTTACCTTATAAAATACACTTTATTTTCTTTGGAAGTGATCACTCATAAGCCCAGTGCAGTAGATGAACTCCAAGGTCGCTGCAGGTCATATGATGTCACACAGATAGGTCACCCAGAGTGACAGGAAGCACACACTCCCCAGCTTCCTTCCCTGCACCTGCTTCTGGGACCCTTCTTGCACTAAGGGAATCCTCAGCGCCCCCTGCTGGTCCTGGACGTCCCTGCATAGAGGTTTGTGTCTCGGCTCACACTGAAGCTCTCCCACTGTGTCTCTTGCACAGTAATACACGGCCATGTCCTCAGCTGTCACAGAGTTAAGCTGCAGGGAGAACTGGTTCTTGGGCGTGTCTCTGGAGATGCTGACTCGGCTCTTCAGGGACGGCTCATAAACTGTGCCTCCAGCACTGTCAATCTGCCCCACCCACTGCAGCCCCTTCCCTTGAGACTGGCGGATCCAGGTCCAGGAGTGCCCACTGCTGATGGAGTAGCCAGAGACTGAGCAGGTGAGGGACAGGGTCTGCGAGGGCCTCAGCAGGCCAGGCCCAGTCTCCTGCAGCTGCACCTGGGACAGGACACCTGGAGACACAAAACCACAGTGAGACCTGGGTCAAATGTAGCTTCTCCATGTCTTCCTGTCCAAATCCCTGAAATGTTCACCTCTGGGAACCACCGCCAGGAAGAGCAGGAACCAGGACCGTTCCATGTTCTTGCTGGTTAGGTTCACTAACTCCAGGAGCTAGCTTGAAGATTGATGGAGAAGCTGAATTTAAACAGAGGCTTTCTGTGTTTTGATCTGCCTGTGTAATTAGGTATTTGCATAAAGGATGTACACTTATATATAAAAGCACGCGTGAGAGAGGGCAGTCCCTGTGGCTCCCCTCAGTGGGTGATATTGGTTGTGCCCTCAGAGAGCTCCACACTCTCTCTAGCTCCACTGCACTAGTCCAGGCTCCTCTTATCCCAGGACACTACATAAGGCAGATAATCTTTCATGGAGCTGGATATATTGACAGAAAGAAAAATTGGGGGGCTGTAGTAACACTCCTCAGATTCCAGAGATTAGCAGGACGGTACATGCTCAGTACGGGGCGGTTGTTTATGTACAGATAGATGAATTCACACAACGTAACAGGCACTACAGGAAAATAAGGATATGTACATGTACTCTCAAGTGAGGGACTCCAACTCAAACCCCTTTCCATTTTCCTAAGCTCATTTTAAAAAGTAGATATTCCAAAATTATAGCTGAAACAACATGTTGCAATCTTATGTTGTTCTGAGTAAACTGAGCCTGACACATTTGTCCTGAGTTAAAAGTAACTTAAGTGAGACCCTGAACACCCTGTAGACCCTGCCCTAAAATATGAATAAATAAATGAATAGGGACTTGAGTGGCTCAGGTTACTTGAACTTACATTTCTTTATGTAATCTACATTGAGGAATATGTTATTAAAGGGTCTCTTTGGTGGGGAAATACGTTGTGTATTAGAAGTATGCATTTTATTTTGACTATACGGTGATCATGGGTCAGTTTCTACAATTGCCAAACTAGCATCCAGCAACAAAGCCTTGATTTTCACATAGAAGCCCAAGGTGTTGTCTGGACATCCTGGGCCTGTCGGCTCCCACCTTGCTGGAGAATATTGATGAGTATGACCCTCCTCAGAATCAGAAAAGGAAAGCTGGTAAAAACAAACAAACAAACAACAAACAAAAAAAATCACAAGGGCCAGGGAGATAGCTCAGCAGTCTAATTGCCTGCCTGGCAAGCACAAGGACCCAGGTTCAATCCCCAGTACCACATGCCATGCCAGCCCTGGAACCACATGCGCTCCTGGCCAGCCACTAAAACCGGACGTGGTGGCTCATGCCTATAATCCAAGTGCTGGGGTGGCTGACGGGAGCATCACTACAATTCCAAGTTGCATAGCAAGAGCCTGTACCAAAAAGATAAATAAACGAACCTTTACAAAAATAAACACTGCTCACTGATTCACATGTGTTGGCCATTGACTGAACTTCAAGGACTCAGTCACATACGTCTGAAGTGTCCAGTTTTTGTTCAGCATTGGTAGAATGTAGTTTAAGTGACATATTTTCTTCCTCCCTGGAGCAACAACAACATTCATAATGCCTGGCAATCAATCTGCACTCTCAGTGGTTTGCAGAAGGAGGAACCTTGCTGCTGACAGAAACATTATCCCTGTCTTAGAAAAATCCCCTTGAACAACCCACCTGACAGCTTCCATTCTGAGCTCTAGGACTGCGCATGAGCTCGCAGGGGTAAGTGGTGGTGGAGAGTGGTGGTGGACAGCTCCATCTCTCTCCACTGGAGACCCCTACAATGCAGACTCTGCCCTCCGGCTTCCAAAGGTACAAATTAGGGAATGGAGTAGTAAGAAGAATGCATGTTTACAGCCTTATCAATTGTACACAGTACAATTTTAATTGTAAAGTTAATTGCAAAGTTAATCGTGAAGTTTTATCACATGCACACAGTGTGTACTGGTCAAAGGGGTTAATTAGGTCTCCATGTTATTATCATGTCATTGTATTTGGTGCCAGAAAGCTTCTCCAATCTAGATCTTCAAAAACATAACAGGTAACTATGTGTGAGCATAGTCATAGGGTATCTATGACAAGCACAATTAGTATCCTTTTATGAATCAGTAAACTTGTATTAATAAAAATAAGTATCACACACATATACAGCAATGGAAAAGACAGTTATATAGATACATACAGTGATAAAGATCCTCAGTGTTTTCCCAGAGGATACTAGTGACCACACTATCACTCCTGCATTTCTTCAATTCTGATTCACATTTCTGTCCATTCATGTATTTGTACTTGGGAAAGTAATCCAATATCGGGTGTTTATTTTACTGCTACTGTTGTCCTTGGTGTGTGCTCTGGATGTCCTCACTTGTTGTCCCCATGTCCCCCTGATGCATCCCCAGTGTAACTGTTAGATTGTTGCCCCATATTTGTGAAGTTTTCTACTATTCTGCCCATATTCTTTTTATATCATTTGTACTGACTCATTCCTTCTCATTGGTGTCTATTAGTCTCACATTATTCATCTTTGCATCATCTTGCAGGTATTGAATTATTTTTTCCTGCATCCTAGTTGTTTTTAAGAGATCTTTTTTACTTTTTCACTAGCTGCAATGGTGTCTTTAAGGTCAGAAATTCTATTTTCACTTTCCCTCAAACAGTTTTGCCAGCTTGTGATTGAGGTTTTAATTTCCTATCTATCACTTTGAACCTGTTTCATACATTCCATTTCTTTTCTAAATTGCTTATTTGGGGTTCCATCATTTTTATATTCTGATCTATTTTTTTATCAGTGTATTCTTTAGAAGCACTTCATACTTCTTTGATTATAGTTATCACTACATTTTTTAGTTCAGAAATTATTTCTGATCTGATTTCTTCTATACCTTTTTGCAGTTGTTTCTTTACTGCCAACGCTATTATTTCAGAGATATCAGGTGTGTGATTTCCAGTTTCCTCTATGCTGGTGTCTTCTGCAATTGTACTGGCTGGACTCAGGGCCTGAGACTGCATTTTGTTCTTTCTCTTTGTCATTTTGTATATACCACTGTTTTTTGACCTTTGATGTAGAGCTTAGATAGAGTTATTACCTTAGCACCAGGTCCGGATCTACAAAGTTCAGATTCCTCCAGGTGGGTGTTGCTTGGATCTGGCTGCTGTGCTCCACTTCTTCCAGCTACAGCCCTTAGAGTTGAACCCTTTGTGTCACTCTGGCAAGATGTTCTGCTCCTGAATCAGCTGGGTGGGTCTTTCGTCAAGCTTCTTTGCAGGGAGTTCTGCTGAAGGGTTCCGCGCTGGGCCTGCACTCCGGGTCGAATGAGGATCCAGTGGGCCCCAGGCGGTCTCATTCACACACCGGGCCTGGGCTCTGGTCGATTCAGGATCCGCAGCCCTGGGTCGTCTCACTCGCACACCAGGCCTATGCTCTGGATCTATTCAGGATCCGTGGGCCCCGGTGGTCTCACTCACATGCCATGCCTGCGCTCTGGGTCTATTTAGGATCCAGCAGCCCTGGGTCCTCTCACTCACATGCTAGGCCTGCGCTCCGGGTCTATTCAACAAAATATTACTGATAAATATTAAAGTTATATAAATGATTGATTAAGTAATAAACCATGATTGGTGCATTTTTCAAATTTTTCTCCAATTTAATAAAATTTCAAACTACATTCAGATTATTCTCTGCTTCTTTCCTTTTTTTTTTTGGTGCCGGGGATGGAATGCAGGACCCTGTGCTTGCCAGGCAAGCACTTATTCTACTGAGCTATCTTCCCAGCCCAATTCTCTCCTTTCTCCTTTCCTAACTTCTCCTTTGTTACTTTTCCCCTTTCTTCCTACAGCTTTGTTTATAGCTTTGTTTCTGTAGGAATGAATTTTTTGTGTGTGCAATTCATGTCAAGCTAATAAGGTACCGTAATAAGATATCACTCACAGTAAATTGTTAGATAATTTTCAAACTTTGATTTTAAAACATACTTCCATTCAAAATTAAACTACCTAATATTACAGGAGTGCAAATACAGTGATGAGGGAAATTAGCAAGTCGCATCTACATTCAATCTCTAAAGTCATATATTCAGGCCAGCCAGATAGCTCAGCAGACTAAAGGGACTGGGGTTCGATTCCTAGCATGCTGTGCCATCCCCACCCCTGGGGAGCACTGGGACTGTGACTAAAACTAGGTGTGGTGGCGCCCGCCTGTAATCCCAGTGCTTGGGACACTGATAAATAGGAGGATCACTATGAGTCTGATCTGTGTAGTAATACCTTATAGACCCTGTACTAAACACACACACACACACACACACACACACACACACACACACACACGAAAATAAAGTCATATATTATTTTATTTTATTAGTACAATTTAGGTATGCATAATAATTACATTCATCATAGGGAATTTATAGCTGTGGGTGAAATAACTTGTTTCTATTTTTCGCCCATTCTCTAACCACTTCTTCTCTTATTTATCTCTATTCCCATTTATTTACAAATCTTTTTTTTTCATTCTGTTTATTCCTTCTATTTTTTGCCCCTTCCTTCCTTTCCCTGTCCTCCTCGCTTGTGCCTGTCCTCATCTCTAAATTTTCTTCCCATTTCCAAATACCTACTATGCTTTTTGAACACATGTGCCCCATTTATTTCATTTAAGAGTAAGGATCTAGTTTTTTTTTTTTACTATTTTTTATGCTCTTTAAAAAACAAAAAATATAAGAGGTTAAAGAAACAACATACAGAAGGGCTGGAAGACAGCTCACTGGATTAATGCACCTGTTTGACAGACGCAGGGGCCAGGGTTTGATCCCAGGCCTGCCATGCTGTTCCTGCCCCCAGGCAGGTTGAGACAGAGATCGAGACTGGGCGTGGTGGTGTGCACCTGTAATCCCAGCACTTGGGAGGCTGAAAACTGGAAGGATCACTACGAGTCTGATCTGTGTAGTGAGACCCTGTAGATCCTGTACTAAATACATAAAAAGGAAAAGAAGACAAAATACATAGTACTGTTTTTGTTTTCTTGAAGTCTGCATAATGTTTGATATACCTTGTATATTTTTATATGCATTTATTAATATATAAATATGTAAAACACAATAATGTATGGTATAGTATGTGTTACATAATAAATAAGACTTTATGTTTTC